CCTAAGGAGGGCACAGCTCATGAATGAAGAACATCTCTGATGAGATTAATATTCGAATTGGTATTTCTACGGGTAGAACTACGCGGTTGTCAACTTCTAGTAGTCGAAGTTCTCCTGGTTTGAGGTCTGTTTTGGGGATTATATAGGAGTCGAAATTTAGATCCTCATAGTCAGTATACTCATAACTTCAGTATCATTGATATCCTATAGTTTTGACAGTTAAAAATGGATTGTTAATTTCGTCTATTATGTAAAGGATACGTAGGGAAGGAAGGGCAATTAAGATAAGGATAATAGCTGGCAGGATGGTTCATACTGTCTCTACTTCTTGGGCATCTATTGTGCTTGTGGGGTTAACTTGGTTGTTAGTATTAGGGTAATAATATAAAGTACTAATGAGCTAATTAGGAAAACGATTATTAGGGTATGATCATGAAAATGAAGTAATTCTTCTATAATAGGGGAGGTAGCATCTTGAAAGCCTAACTGGAGAGGATGTGCCATAAAAATACACAGGAGTTTAACCTGTAATTTAACTTTGACAAAGTTATGTAATAGTTTTTACTAGTACTTTGTTATGAAGAAAGACATAGTGGTTATGGAGTTGGCTTGAAACCAATTTTAGGGGGTTCAATTCCTTCCTTTCTTGTAACAGATTACACTTTTACGTAGGTGGGTTCTTCAAATGTGTGATAAGGTGGGGGGCAGCCGTGAAGTCATTCAAGGTTTGTAGCAGGTAGTTCAACTGCTAATACCTCTCGTTTTGAAGCGAAGGCTTCTCAAATTATGAAGTATAACTGCAGTAAGAGAGATAAATGAGCCTATAGAAGAAACGGTATTTCATATAGTGTATGCGTCAGGGTAATCTGAGTATCGTCGGGGTATACCTGATAATCCAAGGAAATGTTGAGGAAAAAAGGTTAGGTTAACTCCCACAAATATAATTGCGAAATGGGTTTTGGCTCATGTTGAATGAAGGGTAAATCCTGAGAATAAGGGGAATCAGTGGACGAAACTCCCTATAATTGCGAATACTGCACCTATGGATAAGACATAGTGAAAGTGTGCTACTACATAGTAGGTGTCATGAAGGATGATATCAAGTGAGGAGTTGGCAAGGACAATCCCGGTCAGACCACCAACGGTAAATAGAAAAATGAAGCCTAGAGCTCATAATATAGCGGGGGATCATTTAATGTTGCCTCCATGTAGGGTAGCTAATCAGCTAAATACTTTTACGCCAGTTGGAATAGCAATAATTATGGTGGCAGATGTGAAGTATGCTCGGGTATCCACATCTATTCCTACTGTGAATATATGATGGGCTCAGACAATAAAACCTAGAAATCCAATGGATATTATGGCTCAAACTATTCCTATATAGCCAAATGGTTCTTTTTTTC